GCATAATAAAATTTAACGGGTTTATTTCAGCAGACAATGATTCACCATCCAGTAATAGAGAAGCCAAGGAGACTATTTCAGATGCTTCCAGGGATACATGATCTTTTACGTCTTCCCTGTCCTTATGCGTTCCCTTATCGTGCTTCTCCATTTCTCACACAATACCCTATATTAGGACATAAAAGATTATAGTGTGTGGGCCAACTGTCATTGCAATATAATATTACACAGACATATTTTTCTGAGACTAGTTTATGGAGTCTCATCCCAGTGTTACAGTACATAGAGATCAGATGTCTGAAGGTGACCACTTAATTATTTACTTTATGATTTCAAACAATTGCCGCTATTTTTCCATGAGAAAATGGAAAGCATTTTGACTATTTTTGATTGACCTATAGTCAATCTCAAAATACTTGTTAATATTTGAGTGGCCTTCTTCTGTACTGTACTCTGTAGTAAAATTTTAAAAATGAGTTAAGATTCTTTACTTTTATCTAATAAAATGGATTATGGTTAATTTACTGTGATGATACTTGATCCAACACTTCCTGGAAAGTCTGAAGTCCTTGGTATTAAATATTTAATATTTCCTTTTAAAATTTAATATTTTAAATATAAAATTTCATTTTAAGAAAACTTATGGAAAAAAACATTAAATATTATGCCTAAATACTTTTATCATAATGAACTGTAGTTAATTAAGTAGAAGTGAGGACAATGAAAGATAATCAAAGGAAGAACATTTAAGAAAGATGGAAGAGGCAGTGTGAAAATAATTCAATCAGAATGAAATCGGTGTAATTAATGAATGGAAAGAAGCCAGCAACAGGCCAGGAGCAGAATGAAGAAAGGGGTGATTACAAGGTGAGACTGAGAGAGTAAGAATAAATCAAGTCAAATGTAATAGAAATTAAAACTTTAGTTTCACAGGAACCATTGGGTTTTGACAATTTGATTTCTGTAGTAATTAGATGTGTGCATCTGTGTGTGCTTCTCATGTGTACACTCACACACTTAATCACCCCAGGCACAATGGGAAAGCACAATGGGAAATTTTGCCTCTATCTTCTTAATGTTTTTCATTTGGAACTGAGAATTAAACTGCATAAAGAGATTAACAGGAGGGAAGCATACAAGTTTATCTAATGCAAGTTTTATGTGATACATGAGCCCTCAAAGGAAATGAAAATCCAAATATGCAGTAAGTTGAATATTTACATACTGAATGAGACAAACAGTCATAAAATTTGAAAATGTGACAAGGCAAGTGGACTTATGCTAGGGCAGTTAACTGAATGCAGAGAAAGGTTTGCCTGACATTTTGCACAGATATTTCTTGCACAGATATTTCTTGATCTCAAATTCCTGCCTTCATAAGAAAGGTACTTTCCTTCTGCTACAAGGTGGACATCTTCCATGTGGGGGTTTTACTTCCCTCTTTCAAGAAGAAAAGAGGAGGGTCACACTGTCCTTCTTGTATCTGCTATTTCTTTTTAAGTATCTTTAGCTCAAAACATATCTTATGCCAAAGTGGCATAATATTTTGGAGTGTCATATTCAGTCCCCTTTGACAGTATGAAGGGAGTTGACACAGAGAAAAGTTAATCAATGCAGTAGCCACAGGGTGATCCCAATGATGATGGTGATGATTATGATAGAAATATGAGGAAAGGCAGTTTTCAAAGGTGCTTCAAAAGCTAATCAAAGACCTGATACTTGATTAGATATGAGCAGCTGTAGACATGGAGGGGTTGAGATAGCCACTGCGACTGAATTGGACTAGTAGTACTAAGACAAGCATACCATGGTTTATGTTGAGATTTGGTGAGCCTCTGAGAAAGAAACCCAAGTGGGAATATGCAGAAAGCAGTTGCATGTACTCATCATGGACTCAGAAAATAGATCTGGAGGAGAGATGAAAATTCAGGATATTTAGCACAATTGGAATAATGAATGTACATTAGATTCCATATTGACAATATACAGTGAAAATAACAGAGAACTTAGGCCAGAAATTTAAGCAACACATTCATCCTGACTGATGGTTAGAAAAAATTGAGACTTTAATAACTAATAAACCATCCATCAACATTAGATCAATGACTGTGTATTTTTGTAACTAATTACTAGTAACAGCTCTATGAAGTGAAAAGCAAGTTATCAAACCAAGTGCTTCCTTTTTCCTAATTTCTTTCTGGCACTTGAGATACTTCACTGTTTGTTCATATTTGGTGACTCCAATTCACTTCCAGGTCAGCCATGGCCTCTAAAATCAGCAGGCATAGAATGAATTTGCTCCTTTGACCACTAGGGGGAGATATGGGTCTTTCTGTAAAATACTCTTGGACCATTAAGATCAGACACAGATCTTCAACTGAAGAAATTGTTAGCTGCTTCAGCTACTCCAGGTGAGATGGATAGGCATGGGATGGAAGAGAGGTTTGCAGATAGTTAATAAGCCAGTTTATTGCATAAATAGCATTATTTATTTTTAATTGTAATGATATATGTAAACTCTACCACATATCATTTATCTATATTAGTTGTTCAATTTATACACAATAAAGAAAGAAAATAGAAGAGAGAGAGAGAGACAAAAGAAAGAAAGAAAGAAGACACCATCATTTCTATTACATACACATTGTACTGCATTTGCAACCAGTGGAACAAGAAATAAAGTGTGCATGAGAAAGGAAGGAAAAGAAAACAATTGTTAGCAGCTGATAAGTTTGCAAAGAACCAATAGTTTCCAAAGAAGCATTGCATTACTTATAGCTAAATTTAGTAAATTTACTAAATATATCATAAATATAAAAGATCAGTTTTATTTACAAATATTAACAAACAGTTAAAAGGTAGCACACACATGCACACAGAGATATCAATTACAAATAGTAACATAATATAAAATGAAAACATATAGGAACAAATTTATTAGATGATAAGGAAGACTATAATGTAGAAGCTAATTTAAATTTTAGAGGAAAACATTTTGAAAGTCTAAAATAAGTGAAGATACACACTATGATTCTGAATAAATGAAACTAATACTCCAATTTCAGCAATATTATTCATTTATCATTGAAATCACAAAATTTGGCAAAAATAATCTAAAATTTAAGTGGAAAAGAGACAAAAGAAAGGCAAGATCATATTTAAAAACTACAAAGTGACTTGCCTGACTTATTATCAAATTATTTTCCAACTTATGATAATGAAAGCAACATAATAAATAGACAAATGGAAAAACAACAGTAAAATTTAAAAGTCCCATATGTATAGGAATTTAATATATGACAGATGTGTTGTTAAAGATGTATGAGAAGATGAGGCAATATATAATAAGTTATTTTGGAACAAGTGGTTGTCTCTATAAGGAACACTGAATTTAAATGCTGCTCACAGCAGGAGCCAAACTAAATTACAAATGGATTGAATGTTTAAATGAAAAATTCAAAATGTTAAATATTTCTATACATAATACAGGAGTCTATCCTCATGAACTTGGCTTATGGGAGAATTTCTTATAAAAAATGAAAAGATATACACAAAAGAAAGAATGTTACATAGTACTAAATAAAGAATATTAACAAAAATCATGAAAAAAGTGAAAACTTAAGTCAAAAATTGGAAGGACATTAGCAGATATACTGCTGAGAAAGGTTAAGTATCCAGAATATATAAAGAATTCTTACAAGTAAGTAACAGCTAATCAGCTAAAAAAATGTAGTCAAAGAGTATTTTACAGAAAACTCTGGCTACCTATAAATATAAAAATATGTCCACCCTTCTTAGCAGCCAAGAGCACAGACTAAGTCTATATTGTGTCATGAGACACAAATTTAACTTAATTGGCAGGCCAAATTAAAAGGATTCTAAATACCAATGGTGGTCCTAGATATGGGGCATTTGAAGCATGAGCTGTTGGTAGGACTCTTCTTTGGCTCAATCACTTCAGAAATTATTTTGTCACATATGTAAAGCTGGCACGCTGCATAAGATGCAGCCTTTACATTCCCATGGACAGAAAACTCTTTGCCACGTACTCTCTAGAGACATTCTCAGAATGCAATGCTGTCTGCAGGAGCACAAAAACTATGGGTCTGGAGGAGAGTGGGCATTAATTCAAGAATAGAAAATAAATTGCAACAAATGGATAAAATGCAATGGTAAATGTCAATGAAATAAATTGGCTATATTAGTATGTGTCAACATGAATTAGAATGGAAAAGTAACATCATAGAAAAATTTGAGCAAAATGATTCCTCTTAGATGTATTTTAAAGCATATAACACTAAAAATGTATAATTTACAGATTCTTATGTCAATGTTAAAAACTATCATGAAAATTAAGTGAAAGGTATGTCTAAACTTCATAGGTGTGGCTACCTGGACATGACAGAGAATGATGGAATCTGAAATTGTAACACAGACTTGAAAATTCTCAGCCATAATCCATCATTTCTTAAGCTGATTGGTTCAGGAAAAATTATTGACTTTATTATTTCTCTCCATACATTGCATTTTTTCATACATATCTTTTGTATAGTTTAATATTTAGTTCTTTAAAGTAACTGCTATGTGATGTTGTAACCATGGCAACATAGATTCCATATTAGTCAAAATGAATTGACTAGAGTTGTATGTCAACATGAATTATGCATGAAGCAATAAATTACCTATGTTGGAAAGGAGGAGGCAAATTTGCAAGGTTAAAAACCAAATAAGTGAATAATGTGCAAGTCATTTTATTAAAATAAAACAGCAAAAAGTGACCCCCAGAAGAAGAAAATAAAACGTTGCAGCTCACACTAGTTGTTTCCACCAGTGAAGAAAAAACCTGCCCTCTCACATCCTGTGAAATGTTCCTGTCGCATTACATGGCAACTGTGTGAGTCTATGGGAAGTGATCACATCACAAAAGGTTGCCTGGCGGGGAGAGAATGAAGAAGCCATACAGAAACGGCCACATCTCAAATCTCTCTCCTAAACCAACCATGCACCTCGGCCTTCTCTGTTGTGTGGCCCTTTATTTCTGGGGAGCAGGTAAGTCCCTGTTCTCAGCTAGTTGGACACCAGTTTTAGAACTTTTTCTTGTGTTTGCAAGAAAAGGCCCTTTCTGGGCCTTTTCTCCAGCTTATGTGTCTTCTTCCACAGTTTCCACGGACACTGAGGTCACCCAAAGTCCTCGACATGTGGTCAAACAGAAAGCAAAGATCGACTGCATCCCTGTAAAAGGACATAGTTATGTGTACTGGTATCGCAAGAAACTGGAAGAAGAGCTCAAGTTTTTACTTTACTTTCAGAATGAAGACATCATGGAGAAAACGGAATTTATCAATGAGCGAGTTTCTGCTCAGTGCCCCGCAAACTCCTCCTGTAGTGTGGAGATCCAGTCCACTGAGCTAGCAGACTCAGGGCTGTACTTCTGTGCCAGCAGCCAGTACACAGTGATGAATGCTGGCTTTCAGCAGAACTCAAACTCATCATGGACCCCGCTCAGGAAATAAGGGATACATTAGGTTGCTAGGAACTAACATACTGAACTTGAGAATAGGAAAATTTGTATATAATGACTGTAAGTGAGCAAAAAGGAGTGATTACAACAACTAATGGGACAGAAATCCAAGGAAGAGAAAGTAAAGCATAAAAAGGACTCACGTTCCTCAGTGAGCAGAATAAGGATTCTTTCCCTCTCTGTGTGTGTGTGTGTGTGTGTGTGCGTGTGTGTAAATTTCTGTGTAAATGAATACGATGAATTTCAGTAATCTTAATAAAACTATGTAATCCCATACTTTTCCACGTGATAAAGCTAGGGGTTCCAGAATAATATGTGACTTTCACGTGGACCCTGATTATCTGGTGCTGCATTTTATCTGGAATAGGACCCAGAGATTCTCAGGTTGCATCATCGCTTCTCATAGCTGTCCCTGTTGTTGGAACTTCACAGAATCTCTTAGCTACTCCAGCCCTCTGGAATACTAAATCATGTGATTTTAAAAGAAAATGTACTATGGCATAATACATGTAATAAAATGCACCCTGTTTTAAGTGTAATTTTTATACTCATGTAACTACCTTGACAATCAAGATACAGTTTCTCAAAAAGTTCCCCTTGTCTTTTTATGGAAGTTTTAGCAAATTACTTCCGGCATTGCTTTGTTATTTTTACTTTGTAGGTCTTCCACATATTTTGTTAAATGTTCCTAAATTTATTTTTATAAAGTTATTGTAAATGTACTTTTTAATACTCATAAGGAATATTTATATTTACAAAAATATTTTGTCAAGATTGCACATCAAAAATGCCATCTTTATTTAATTTAAGACTTAGACCTATAGACAGATGCCAAAATTAAATCCTCTTATACAATTCACTGTGAGTATTGATACATATAAGAAGGAGTATGATGATACCTAAAACAGTTTAAAGTGATGGAGTATTGATAACCACTATGGTTTGCTCCAAGAATAGAGTTGATCATTTAAAAGTTAAAAAAAAAAAGAAATGTCTTCACATTTCTCAACTGATGTCTACTTCAGCATGTTACATAAAAACACCTCCTACAGAACCAGCAACCATGTGTGAGCTTATATTCTCATGTCATCCAACTAAGTGTCAGGACTACTCAGCTTTGAGGTAAAGTATACTCTCACATTGGAAAAGTTACAAAACTTCTACAAGGTACACTTTAAGAACAGGAAGAGTTTGCTTATGAAAATAAACTTGTGAGTTAAGAGTAAAGGGAATATCTTAGTTAAGTACATGATTTGGAGTAAATAGTTTGGGTGTTACCACTCTGCTGGTCAAGTTCTTGTGTTCCTTTCTTCTTTTCAGGCGCTACATTCATTGGGTTTGTAGTCCTGCAATACAGGATGTCAAGAGTGGAGATGCCAAGTTTTTACATGTGGAACACAGGGACACATAGCAAGTGTAGTTGCCTCTCAAGTTTTCTCTGAATTTAAAACTGCTCTGAAATATAGTTAATTAAGTTTAAAAATATGTAAGCACCTGAAAGGTATGAAATGGTACTAGACTGTATAATCTGTTAAAATATGGGAAAAACTAGTCAATAGAATAATGTTCTTGATAATATCATGATAAACTTCTTTATGATTTGTGAAAAACCCCTTTGAGTTATCATGAAATATGACACTACTTAAGGAATACAAGAAGTATTTGAATCCAGTTGCCAAGTCTAAAATCTGTCAAGAAGAATACTGTGTATATCACCATACAATATCATTGGACTCTGAAACATTTCAGAATTAGTAACACATACTGTTGCAAGGCATCATTTAAAAACATGTAGTATGTGGTTCTGTTTGTGATTCAATTTTAGGAATATTATTTCTGATACAAGGTTTCCTACATAACACCTCAATCTTTCATGTAAGAAGACAAATGTTATCAAACTACTATTCCAATAATGGCTCTCAGGACACATAGATACTTGAGGATAATTATTGTGATGACAGAGATGATGATGATGTGGATAATGAGAGATGTAGCTGACAATGAATATATATATAATATTGCATTATGCTAACTAACTATGTATATCTGTAGAAAGATAGATATGGAAATTGTATGATATTTCTAAAACCAAAGTACAATCATGGAAGTGCTGTTATAATTTAAGTCTGTAAATCAGTCTAAAGAAGTAATTTAAATTGTTTTTCCTTCCATGTCTTTGACAAATATGGGATTTACATGTATGTGCAATGTATTTTTGGAGATATATGAACTTCCTAACACTTCCCATCCATAGATTCCAGCATGAAGCACATTCTTTTCTAAGGCTTAAAAATTTAAACTGTGATGCCAGGACTCCAAGGGGTGCATAGATAAAATTCAGGGACTCCATGAAGTTGAACAGAAAATATATCCTTATTTTCACTAATCTATACTTGAAATATGACATTTCCTTCCATGATAAATATAGTGAATAAAAATAACAATTTTGGTAATACCTGTGACAAAATAAATAAAATAAATCACAGATATTTACATGTATATTACATACATTACAGTTGATATGAAAGCTAGATTTTTCCATATCACATTGCATGCAGTAAAGATCATTTACTTTCAACACTGCTTTGAAATAATGATAATTTTCAGTCACCAGAGTATATTTCATTTATTCTACTTTAAATATGTACACATATTAATGCACCATGAATTATAAGGTAATATTTTGATATCTGCCCTTAAATATAATTGCTTTCCTTTGTAATATTATAATTCTAGCTTATACCTTTGAAATATTAATCTGAAAAGAGATCCTAGGGATTTATTGAACTGACAAAGGGGTCCATGGCTAAAAAAAAATGAAGTATGCCTGTATAAGAAATGAGATCTAAACTTTGCAGGTGTGACTGAAAACATGAAGCCAGAACCCAAGCACTAAAAGCAAGTATGTAGTAAGTATTCTGTCTCAGAGTTTCACCCACACTCTTCTCTCTTTCTGTCTCTGTCTCTCTGTCTTTCTCTCCTTTTTCTTTCTCATCTGTCTTTCTTCCAGAAAAGGTCAGCAACTGCTACTAAGTAACCAGATTCTAACCGAAAGTTTGTCATAAAAGTATCCTCTATATCTCAGACAAAATATAAAATAACAACATTTATCTAACAAAATAATAGCATTTGTAAAGAAATGTTCAATCTATGATGTCATTTTCATTTATATAAGGGTCTTGAGAAACCTATGTTATGCAGTAAATTAACGTGCACATTGTAGCTCAGTGCTGGGCAATACTTTAGTTAGTGCAATCATGTCAGTAAATGTCTGGTTTTTCTTGATATGATATTAATTTCCGAATTCCTTGTGGATTGGAACATCAAGTCCAGAAAATAATAATAGTAAGCATAAATGTGGTGTTTATTATGTGTTAAGAACTGTTCTAAATTACTCACATATACAATTTTATCTTGATGTAGATACTCATTATTCCATTTTACAAATGAGAAAATCAAATCAAAGGGAGATCAAGTAATTTTCCTCAGACTACATAGCAGCTAAATGGCAGAGGCAGGGTTCAAGTTCCCGTTTCCCAAAGCCAGGATCTAATCCGTGGAGGGGAGCTTTGGCCCTTTGTCATTGCTAAAACTACAGGAGTAACCTACCCCATTTCTACTATGTTAATTGCTTATAGTAAACACAGATGATAGAGCAAATGCCTTTTAAAAAACAACTAGACTTCTGAACTCCATCCTGTGTTTGGGGATTCTTATCTCAATAATATTGGTGAGAACAGCGCAGACTATAGGCCCTGAAAATTGCAAATATTTATCTTTCTAGATCTCATCACAGCCAGTACAGAGGCATGTGGCATTCTGAAATTTAAGCTGATCAGGAAACGAGGGAGTTCATCCTCTCCTCATGTGGGTACTTGCCCATTTAGAAGAGATATAAAGAGCATCTATAAGCAGAAGTGAAGGTGCAAGGTTTAGATTTCCCTGAGCCTTATCTTACTTAGTCTCACCATCTGACAAACCAGTTGTGACAGTTAGTCATCTTATTCCAATGACAAATTCTGCACATTGACTGGGGGTAGAGGGCCTCTTTTGAAATCTCTCAGAGCTTGTGTATAGAGCTTATGAAAGACCTTGTCCCTGAAATGGGCAATTGGGCCATCTGCCTCTGCCTTGTCACCCTTTGGGAACAGGTGAGGCCAACACACAGTTGGCAAATTCTTACCCAAAGCTTTGTAGACATTTTCCCCACACCTTCCTTTTACAATAGCACCACTCTTCCATCTGATCATGATCCCCAGTCCTTGTTTCTTTACCTCACAAGACCTGTGGATTCTACCAGATGCCATTCCTGCTCACTAAGGCTGGACGAGATGTAACCTTGCTATGCAAGCAGAACTTGAGATACAATTCCATATACTGGTACTGGCAAGAGCCAGGGCAAGGTCTAAGGATGATTTATTACTTAGTGGTTGAAAAGGATGTTCAGAAAGGAGACGTAAGTGAAGGCTACAGTGTTTCTCCAGAAGAGAAGGGCTGTTTCCTCTGATGGTGAAGTCAGCCCACACCAACCAAACAGCTTTGTATCTCTGTTCTGGCAGTGTTCAACAGTGGAAAAGCAGTGCCTGCCCCTCTGTGCACAAACCTGCCTCAGTCTTGCACTCTCACTGCTTCTTCGATTTCATGGTTTTTTATACTTTATTTTTATAATTGTGGTACTGGGGGTACATTGTGACATTTACAAAATTTCTTACAATATATCATTAGTTGAATTTGCACCCCCTCCATCATTCTCCTTTATCCATTCTCCTCCTCCAGCCCCCATTCCTGGAATAGCTTCAACAGGTCTCATTTTTCCATTTACATACATGAGTACAGAGTATTTCCACCATATTCACCTTCCAATCCTCATTCCTTTTGTCCTCCTCACTCCCACTGCTACCCATCCCCCAGACAAGACCTCTTTTGTCTTTCTATTCTCTGTTTTTGTAAAAAATAAAATGGCACTGTGTTTGTTTAAGATAGCTACACAGG